ATCTTTAACATGTGCGTCAATATTATATCGTTACAGGTCATATGTCGTATCATTAATTTGACTTTCAATTATTTTTGAGTATATAATTGATTATGCAGTTTACAGTAACATTTAACTTCCGTGATAACAGTTGACACGGTAAAAAAACAATGTATGCAATTGCCGACTTAAATTAGGGCCGTTGTTTATTAACAATATGAGTTTATTATAAAGAATAGTGACTAATCAATAAATCAGTTAAAAATAGGTGAGTACCAAGATAGCGCGGGCGACCCCGACGCGGTCAGTGCACTGATATATAAGGTACACGCCGACGAAAGCCTCAGCATCATCATAAAGGGGATTAACTAAAATAATAATTTGGCATGCTGTTCGCAACGAGGGAGTGAACGTGGTAGCGTAACGATAAAATAATGAAAAAGAAAAATCGGAGAAACGAAAAACATCGACAATTCGAAACACCGATAAATGTATACTCACAGAAAGGCCATTGTGATGTACGATACGGGCTTCAAACGTGTATTTCGTTCTATATTGAGATCATAAGCGTGTGAGACGCACTCTCATAGTGCGGTTACAGCGCTGCGAGCTCGTAGACGAGACCTGGAACAACAAATGTCACGTTTAGACCCCATCATGGCCCAGTCAGAGCCAAGATTTACGTTCCTTTTTGACTTAAAAATCACGTAATATGAATTTTCATAAGCTTATTTAAAAAAGTCAATTAGATGATCGTTACTTTGTAGCTTTCACTATGACCACAATAATTTCGCTGAATAGTTAATAAATCATATTCAATTAATAATTATAATAAAAAAAATATTCATTAAATAGTCTGTACACAGTCTTATCTTATGGAATTAGAAAAACTTGAGTTTTACAAAAATGAATGAATGAATTGAATGAACGAATGTTTGGTAATTCTACTTAATCAATACCCTAAGTACACGGCCAATAGAAATGGAAGACCTACACAGTTTGGGGACAAGCAGCCATACAATACACACGCTATAATATCAATCATGCATGTGTTCTCTCAAAAAGAGGGTCCGTTATCAGAACGTCGAGCTACACTGATGACGACGACTACTGATGACGTCTCTTCATGAATTTCTTTCAATCAATATCTCCAAAGACGTAGTACTACATGTCGGTCATCCCTACCAGGAAATGGGTTTTGATGTCGAAGAGCTAAACCCAATGATCTGGTCTATTTGTCGCTCTTGGTCACCGTACAGGGATACATACGGCATTAACTAGTAACCTCTTTACAAAGGCCTGTTGTAGTTTGGGATCTGATAAGGCACTTGTGGATTACGATATATATTGAGAGCAAAAATGGATGGATGTTTTTATATAAAATGAGTCAGTATCGAAACAAATGTATGAGAATTTCTTAAGGCAAATTGCAATTTGTTAGGGCCGAAAATATTTTTATTCCTACTCGTTAATCATTCATGTCCGCGTATAGAGTCAACTAATATTTTTTCCGTAAGTTAGTTCTTTAAGGTTCCATTATTCAATTAAGTTGAGTGTTGAGTTGAATATCGATTTTTTGAGGACCATGGAAACTGCGTATTTGTGTACTTAAAATACAAACTAGAAAATTCAGCGAAAACAGTGTGTAAAACGCTTTCAAAATAAACTACGTTAGTATTTAGTTGAAAAACAATAAACAGATGTTTCCTGATTATAATAGGTGAGCAGTTGGGAAGGTTGATGACCTGGAGAAGGTCGTGAAGAAACTAACCACAATATTAAGGAAAATGAAGGACCAGTTCCGTAGTAGGGAGTGGCCTTTGCCGATCTCGATCTTTTTTGGCAGACAGACGTATTTATGAGGATCGGAAGAAAAATTATGATTAGCCCATATGTTACCCACTTTATTCAGGTATAAAATGTATTATTACATGTAGTTAAAATTTTAATTTATCATAATATATAATAATCGGCATCTGGATGACATTGCGGTTTACAAGATAATACTACGGGCCTAATCAATTATCGAAATACTATCAGTAGATATTTTTATCTTTTCTTTAGTTATTCTTGAGTAGAGGAGTGCCGGATTCTATCAAGTTGGTGCCGCAATTATGTATTTAAGCGCTTCGAATTCGCCGGTATCGTAATTTTTGACGGATCCAGCATTTATTGTATTTCACCGCCTGCCAGCAAGCCAGATTACAAAATAAAATGGGAACAGCACAAGAGTTGGCGCTACAGGCGGATACGTTCAACATGCATGCCAGGGTTTAGGGATAAATAACTTCAGAGTATCAAAAACAAATATTTAAGAAACCTCAAACTCAAAGACAACGAATTGGCATATAAAGGGACGAAAGAAATTAGAAAAAAAGGCCTTTGTATTTTGTCAAGTGGGGGCAAAAAAAAAAAGATCTCATTTACCTGCCTGCCTGTTTTTTAACTACAATAACAAGGGACCTAATCGATCTACCTCAATAAACACACTATACAATTTTTGAGTAGAGTGTCTATTACAACGAAAGAAAACTTGCTAAAAAAATATTACACGACATTTTGTCATAATGCTTTAAAGTCGTAAAAAAATAATAGAAAAAAATATCGACTACGCTTTTAATGTAGGTAAAGATAACAGAATCGTATTTTGCGAACAAATAGCAAGAAATCACGACATACATAAACATTAATTTGGATATTTATTAATATTTTCTTTTAAGTACCTATATTAAACAAAAAAATCCATTTTACACCTAATAATTCGTCATTGTTTAACCTTAAATAGGTATGTACTAATTTATTATATTTGGTGCCGAAATATGTTTGTTAATTGCCCAAGTTATTTAGTACCTGAACCAACTAGAAGACTTAATTAGGATAATAGGTAAACCAAATTTACATTAAAATTTTAAGGTGTCTTGCCAAGACGCCAGTGTAGTTGAGAGGTAGGTATTACGCTATCTCTCCATTAGCTAAAATCTTAAACGATACATCCATTCAAAATTCTGTAATGATGAGTCATAAAAATTCATTCATAGAAAAAGTGCAAAGTTCAAACACATTAATTTATTATCACTATCAAGTATCTGCTGATTTATAAAATATTGCGGAATGTAAATACTAGACGGACACAATCCTACATCTTCATATATTATTTACCAACTGAGATGATATTTAGTATGAACGTGCGTCGGTTTCAAAAGCTAAACGCCTTATCGAATAGACAACACTACGAACGAGTACGATGCACGACCGAGGACCGCGACCGACCGGTATACTAGGCCTGCCGTGCCGCAACATTTTGATTACATTCCCTGCCTCCACCCACTCGGTGTAATCTACCACCTACGTCCACAGAATGTAATAAAAAATATACTAATCGTTAAACAGTCCACGTTGCGATGCTGACTTAGGTATATTCTCGTCAACATCTAACAACGAAATCCCTTCTGTGAGAGAAAAGAAAGTCAGCCATTACCGCGCACGCGAGTCGATAAACGGAAGCCATTCCAATAAACGCCACGCGTTCTCTCTCTTCGAATTATTATCCGCTGCATTGAACTTAATTAAAACTTACCGTATTAAAGATTATCTCTTTGCTGGTTAAACAACAATCCTTTAGAATCCAGGATAAGGGAACTGCCGTGAGCACTATTGCACCACACACAATATTCTTTGTATATTTTTTCACTTAAACGTAAGGAACACTTAACACCACAAACGACGGTTTAAATCACAACATTATACTTATAAAAATATCTTTATCGGATATCAAAGCCCGTTACAATGAGTAAAATAGCACGTTTGCTCAGGGAGTCCACGACAAGAGCATCAGTCTTCGTACATCGCCGTGGAATGACTTGGTTTCGCTTTTCGAACGAGTCTAGGCGTGACTAACCCGAGAAAACCCGAACATGTCCGATTAACAATTTTCGACCATTTACGCTAGGGGCGCTGTTGTCGCTAGCGATTATGGATGCGTTCCAAATTCAGTAAATTTTATAATAAAGCTAAAATAAAATAAGAATTTATCGATAGAATAGTACAAGTATAAAACGTAAATGTAACATTATATACTTACCTCCTGAAATTACTAAAGGTAATTTTAAATATAATTTAAGTTATTTTTATTATGCTGTACTAGCGACCCGCACCGGCTTCACATGGGTGAACTGCTGGTAATATTATATCATTTGTTTAAGATGCTTTAGCAATCATTACATTATTTTTATTTAGTTTGAGTGTATTATAAAGTAGTGCCTAGATAGGTTAGATTGAACGGTTATGACGCATGAAGATATTAATTTTTAATGTGATGATTGATAGGTATTAGAACTGCATAAGAAAAACCCCTTCGAAAAGCTTAGAAGGGGTGTCATCCAAGCTTCTTACCACTTGAGACTTATGGTTGTTTGGCTGGATTGCTGACCTTCACCATGCAGGTCATGCAATTCGAAACCCTACTAAGTTTCATACATATGACATGTTGAATATATTACGAAACCGAAAAGTGTTTAGCACTACGCGACACGGCACGACCCAATATTATAGGTATTATGTTTTCTTCTTCAGATTACACGGTCCTGCCGTCTCGTTCTTAGTCTATCCACCAGTCTGCACCTCATAAACCATGATAATGTATAGGTTTTTTAGTAGGTATCTTAAAAAAATGCTCATCCTAAGCTTAATAGTTGTCAGCCATGGTGAAAAACCAAAAAAATCTTATGTAGGTATACGGCAAAAATATATAGATTTATAGATTATTTTATGCCATAAAAGAAAAAAAATATTTTTATACTAGATAAGGTTTTTTGTCTTTCTTGAATGGCAACCGACTAGACTCTCCAATGCAGTGTTGTCGTTACATCTTAATTATCGTCACATGTCTGTTATTTGGTTTCTTAGACTTTAGAATAAATCCTCTATGTTTGGCGCATAGGTTTTAAAGAAAATTAGGTACCTACCTATTATAATTCCTTCGTGATGTTTATTTTCAAGTCAACTGTCACTGTCACTTGTCACTGCCTTTCAATCTGTCAAGCAAGACCGTAAATTGTGAAATAATAATTTGAGGTCTTATTTAATGCTGTCGTAATCCATAGCGAATTCTATTCAGGATTATAAAACAAAGGTATATTGAAAATAGTTTTTTTATATCCTCACCGTTATATTTTTCTGGCCAACTATCAGGCATAAACTAAAATAGACTGTAGTTTTTAATCTGTTGTCTGCGACGTTTCAATTTTTAGAACATTTTTGAAATTTCCCTATTTGATCATCTTTGCAGAAAAAATAACATTTTGAAGGATATTTTGACGAAATCATGGCAAACTGTTTTAAAATAACTGCCTCAACGTTATTCAAAACATCCAGAAATCTAAGATGCGTTACCCAGTCAATAAAGAAAACGAGCTTTTCGACTTCCAGTGTCTTAGCGGTAAGTTGCGTAACCCCATAAACCTTAATATTTTTAAAAAGACATGCTGGCGATAAGTAAATTCGTAAGAACCTGGAAAAATTATCGTATCGATCGATGAAGTAATAAAGAAAAAATACCTGAGGGAAGGGAAAAGACATGCACTTCATTACATTGACAGGTTAGTTAACTTTCTTATTTTTATGTTGAACAAATGATAAGTTTTATGCTATGTTATAAATCCTGGTGAAGTCACATGACATTACCATTACAGACCACTAGAAAGAACATTTAATATAAAACTTTTCTGTTGAATTAACACCAATTTTCATTTTAATTTACTTATTACTGAAGGCCTAAATTTCATCATCAAACAACATTCAAAATTGCCAGGTGTTCTGGTTAGAAAATACACCTGGGCTTCATAGTATTATTGTACCTGAGGTTTATTTAAATTTTATTAAAAAACATTCTCTTAATGGATTGCGACTGAGAATCTAAATAACACGAGCTTAACTTTTAAAGTGAAATAATGTGTGTGTTATCCTTAATGTAATGGATTAATTTGGTGAAATCATTATTTCAAAATAAGAACTATGATAATCTTTGTTCCAATCACATGATTCAGGGTTCTAGTTCTTTGGAAGCTATGTAAGTGTCTAATGTGAATGAAGTGCTGGGAGATATCCTTGTATTCAATATGGAATCTAATGACAAATCACTATAGACCCCAGCCAGACTGATAAATCTTACTACTACAAGTTGCTGTTCCTAACTTAATAGCCGTTCTGTTAAAGTTTTTTTTTGTATGAATGTAAGTGTGACAATGTACAACAGACCAAACAATCACTCTCAACTATCATTTTAAAATTACAAACTATTTATTTTAGTTTCAAATGCTGCAAATTGTTTTGTGATAAAAGAAAGTAGATGTCTTATTTGATATCTGTTGTAAAATATTTCGGTCTATCTATCACTCTATCTGATATCTATATATCTATCACTTTAGGTCCAATCTGATTAAAAAAATATAGATTTACCACTATCTGGTTTAAGATGTTAGTTTGCTTTTTTCTCATACCTACCTAGAGATAGCCTTGTTGTGATATAGAGATACCAAGGCTACATATTTGAGGTTGACAATAATTTTAAATGTTTTATTTTTTGTGCGGTGGCAAACAAGCCAACATAGTAATATGTTGGCTGATGGTCAGCAATTTGCATGGCCACGCACACATCAGAGGAGTTACAAGTGTGTTGCTGGCCTTTAGTGTTTTTTTTTATTTAGGGATTGGGGAGGAATGAAGAGAGGGAAAGGGGCCTTCGATTACCTCACTACATGGCTTTTGGCCAATGCTGATGTTTCACCCCAGTTTTCTGTGAGGCTGTGGTATCACTTTGCTCAAACAGATTAATTTGTGTGAAAGCTTGGCTCTCCACACAGTATATTTAATGGAACAACAACTAGATGCATCAAATCCTGACACATTCCATTAATCTCTACTACAAGACATCTATGCCATAAATAATTCTTGCAAAATATAGACTTGTAGAACAAGGGGTTTACTACCAACAACAATGGCAGGTGAAATTCAAATTTAGTTCTTTTCAGCTGTCTGTCACTGACACCTATGTCAGTTTGACAATTTTTTGTGAATATTTTCAAAGATAAAATTTTCGTGTTGTAAAATTTTTAGTAGTTTGTAGCTGTAAGATTTTAGTGATAAAATATACTGAGTGAATCAGATAATAAATAAAAAAATGTCGTGTCCAATTTGTACGGCTGCCAAAGGCAGTTCTCGAGGAATGGTAAGTTTAGTGAGAACCATTAGTATTACTCAAATATTTATTAGGTACTGTGCGTGAAAGACATTTCGTGAAGAAAAGACCCACGTTTAGTTTTAGAATCGATTTTTGAAAATCTAATTTACTATAATACAGTGTGAATTTTACATGAAGTGTTTGTAATTTATCTAGTTGTAAAACGTTGAACTCGAATGAGACCTCAAAACAATAGTAACGTGTCAATTCGACGGCGGGCGCTTGTTGTGCTTTCCATGAGGTAATTGCCGCCGCACTTACGATCAGCTGTTATTTTATTTGCTAATATTACCGAGTGAAATTAAAAACACCACCAAAAACATAACGTAATAATTTCACGAGATACTCGACTAGTTTCAAGCCATGCTAGAAGCCCATATTCATGAGCAGCATTCCGCGACTCGCGACGCGGCGAAAGTCGCGTGTCGCAATAATATAATTAATTTAGAATTACTCACGAAAGTTATAGTAAAAATATTTTCGATAGTTCTAGGTCTAGATCAAGGTTGATAAATTTTTGTAATACTAATTTATTTTTATTTTTATAATGTTACAGAGAAAAGAAAAAGATACTATGGGGGAGTTGGATGTACCTGACGACAGGTTGTATGGGTCTCAAACTATGAGGTCTATCATGAACTTCCCCATAGGAGGTATTGAAGAACGCATGCCGGTTAGTTATTCTATTTATTAATAAGATTTGTATAGCACCATACGAGGCCAACAAGGCTCTAACCTTATAATGATCAAGTTCTTTTTTCTTAATAATGTTGCCATACACTAGGATTTTCTCCTGTGTCGTGCGGCTATCATTATTTTCCCCCTTTCCTTAATTTTCGCCTATCCGAGTGGCTGATGCAAGTGTGATTTATGTTAAGGCGATCTACACGTTTAAGACGCTGGGCGCTCTCGTTGGGTTGCTCTAACAAAATTGGCCAACTTCAAGTTGGCAAAAAAACTCGCACCAGGCACTTAGATTTCTTTACATCACAAACTCACTATCTCACACACACTTCAAGTTCTACATTTAAGCAATAGTTAACGATTTTCATGCATGAAAGTGCAGGTTCGAAACCTGGCAAGTACCAATGTGACTCAGAAAAGTTTTTAATTTTCTATTTAAATACTACTGACATACGGTGAAGGAAAACATTTTCAGGAACCTGGACTTGTTATTTCTAATCTCTAATTATACCAATCTGCCTTGAGCAAGCATATGGTGATTAATGCTTAAACCTTCTCTGTGTGAGAAGAGGCCTTTGCACAGCAGTGAGCACTTATAAGCTGATGTCGATGATATACATTTTAATATCAGGATATTGTAGATTTTTATATATTAGCTTATAAAATAAGTGGAATTGATATTGTTTGTATTATATTTTGCAGCTTCCCGTCATCATTGCAATGGGTATTCTAAAGAAAGCTGCTGCTAAAGTTAATATAGAGTTTGGTTTAGATCAGAAAATTGGTAAGTCATGCTCATGATGATCCTTTTCAGTCAGACATTTAACTTATAAATATATGGCCATAGGATTACTTTTTTTATATGATAGGTCGGCAAACGAGCTGACGGATTACCTGATGGTAAGCAATCATCGCTGCTCATGCACACCTGCAACAAAATCGGAGTCACGAGTGGCCGACCTTCTGGGGATTAAGGATTGGGGGAGTAGGATTGGGCCTCAAGTAATCTCATTCACACGGCGAAACACAACGCTGTAGTTGTTTCACGCTGGTTTTCTGTAAGGCTGTGGTATCACGCTGGTCGAGCCGACACATTCGTGCCGAATCATGGCCCACCCACACCTGTTACTTGTTTAATTATGTTTACATTCTGTTTTAACAACCTTCTTTTATGTAAATATTGTATTGACCTTTCGTCAAAATTATTATGTTATAGCGGAAGCTATTATGAAAGCGTGTGATGACGTCATATCCGGCAAGCTGTACAAAGAGGGTCACTTCCCTCTCATCATCTGGCAGACTGGATCTGGCACACAGTCTAACATGAACACCAATGAGGTATGATGCCATTCTAGTTTTTAAGAAGCCTTTATATTTTATAACTGCCTACTCTCGCGCGGTTTCAACCGCTGCTCAGCTTCATTTGATCGTAGCGTGATGTTTTATAGCCTATAGCACTCAGGAACATTGTAGCTATCTATCAGTGAAACAATTTTGGCAATCCGACCAGCGGTTCCAAAGATTCCTCTACATACAAACTTACAAATGTTACCTCTTTATAATATTAGTATAGATGATGCACATCACAAAGTTATACTTTGATGACCACTATAGTGTTGATCCGTCGCATAATCTATACTTATATTATAAATCGGAAGAGCTTGTTTGTTTGAACGCTCTAGTCTCCGGAACTACTGGTTCGAATGGAACAATCTTTTTGCGTTTGTTACCCCACTTATCGATGAAGGAGCAGGGTAGCGGGTCAAACCGCGCGAGTGTTGCCAGTATTGTTTTATAAATCACAAATAAAAATCTGACTACTAACTGTGACTTTCAAAACTTTAATAAATCTCTCCTATCTTTATCTTGTAGGTCATTGCAAACCGCGCTATCCAAATCTTGGGTGGTACATTGGGCAGTAAAAAACCAGTGCACCCGAACGACCACGTGAACAAGTCGCAGAGCTCAAATGACACATACCCCACAGCCATGCACATCGCTGTGGCCATGGAGCTCAGAGATAGACTCATGCCTGGACTTGTGGCACTCAGAGACACCTTGGAAGCCAAATCAAAGGAGTTCGATAAGATCATTAAGATTGGCAGGTATGTGTACCCACAAAGGGTATCTTTTAATAGTTAAAATATTTAAAAAAATTGGAAAAGCAAAAATAAAAATTTGTCCGTTTAGAGTAATATGATTTTCATTTAGTTAAATAGAAAATAATATTCTTATAATTATATAAGTTCTTCCTGTAACTTACTAATATTATAAATGCGAAAGTTACGATGTTTGGTAACCAATCTCGCCAAAACGGCTGGACGGATCTGGATGATATTTGGCACAGGCCATAATAAACACTCCGGAATAGGACATGGCTACTTTTTATAAACATACCACGCGGGCGGAAGGCAGTAAAAGAATATGTTTGTAGGACCCACTTGATGGACGCAGTGCCGTTGACACTGGGCCAGGAGTTCAGTGGGTACGCGACGCAGCTGACGTTCGCCATCGAGCGCGTCTGCAGCACCCTGCCGCGCCTGCACTACCTCGCGCTCGGCGGCACCGCCGTCGGTACCGGACTCAACACCCGCGTTGGATTCGCTGAGAAATGCGCTGCCGAGATCGCCTCCATTACTGGTAAGAATTTGCAATAAACCGCATATTGTTACTTAAGTTAGCTATAAGGTAGATATTAGGTTGTTATTTACTGTATAAATTAGAGCGCCTCCTCACGCCAACAAATTGTGAGTGCAGTTTGGCGTTATTGTTTTATCTTAATGGAATGTTCAATGAAGAAATAAATTAATAAAAAAAAACACATAATAAACATCATTACCATTCGTCACGAATTGGCCGGCTTGAGTGTTGACCGGTATTATAATACTGCCTCACAAAAAACCGGCATACAATTAACCATAGCGTTATATTTGGCATGATACCGGAGACTCAATTCGACCATTGTCCCTCCCAAATCGGCAGTCTTCAAAAAAAGCCCGTTGCTTACTATCAGGTGATCCAAGCATCAGATTTATAAGAGAACACTGCTATCTGGTCCCTGTTACATAATTATGCAGTCCCCCTAAGTAGACTCTTATCGACAGCTACAACCTCCTCGAAATAGTTGTCTCTGTATTCTCTGTATATAATAAACATACGAGGTGGGAAAGATGAAAGTCTACGTGCTGGTGTTGTTTTTTTTGGTCATGGGAAAATCATCGAATGACTTCTCCCGCTCAGGTTTAGGCGAGAGAAAAGAGAGTGTCAGACTTATTGACTAAACCCAGTTGGATTAAGCCAGCGCAGGGTCTGTAGCAAATTCTGTAAAGGGGCCCTTGGTTTGCTAACGGTTCTCAAAAGGGTAGTAAATAAAACAAAACTATTACAAATAAACTTCGTAAACTTCATTCGTAGAAAATTATGCGAACCTAAAATATGTTGCCTAATATTTGCAGGCATTCCATTTGAAACTGCGCCAAACAAGTTTGAGGCTTTAGCTGCCCATGACTCCATGGTAGAAGTGTCTGGAGCCCTCAATGTAGCTGCAGTTTCTCTCATGAAGATAGTCAACGACATCCGTTTCTTGGCGTCCGGACCTCGATGCGGTCTGGGTGAACTGATGCTACCAGAAAACGAGCCGGGATCATCCATCATGCCTGGTAAGCATAAAACATTTTACTTTACGTTGCATTTCCTGTGTAGTGTCAAGTGCTTCACATCACTGTGATTGAAGAAGTGGTGTCCTAGTATATTTTTGGATAGGAAAATACGTCCAATATAGACAGAAGCTTATCAATCCATAGGAAGTTTCACGCTATGTTACAAAACATAACAAAAAGACGCATAAAAGCAATGATGTATAAATCTATAGATACGTTGTCCGCGCTCTAAAATGGCAACATGAAATGAAGGCAATTTGACAACATCGCGCTTAGTCACGCACCAACCTCCCGCGCGACGCTACGTTTGTTATAATTTATATCGTGTGTGTAAACCTGTGCGAAACTAAAGAAAGCATGCCGTCGTGTGTGTTCAGAGGATGTACAAATTATACTCTAAAAGTTAAATACAAAAATGTGTCATTTCATGCGTAAGTTCACCAAACAACCTATTTTTATTTTATTTTTTTGACGCCGCCCGGCGCCCGCCATCTTATGGCGGCCGGCGCATGAAGGTATAGTCACGTGCCGTCGGCATAACTGAAGATGTATATTTATCTCCCTCTAGCAAAGGCATTCCACTATACGATGTCATATTTGCTTTCCCTTTCTTTAGTCGTAGAAGTAGTTATCTTGTATTTTCGCCGTTTTTAAGCGCCGCGATGTTGGTTCATGACGTGTCTATATATAATACGTCATTGCATAAAAGACACAAAACGAACAATAATAAAAATAAAAATACATAAAGAATGACAATACAATACAACCAAAGTAGAGGGTAGGAGAAAAATATGCGTCCGAGCACGCGAAATGGCCCTCGCTCAGCATTATGCAGCTACCCCATACGAGACAGTGTCGCGGCGCTGATTTTCAGCGATGGTCTCGCTGTACATATTCCAATTCATTATAGTCGATCATTCATAATTACTCTGTGTAACATTTACAACTAAATAATAAATCTATCCGAAACATGAATACGAAATAGTGCATGAAATAATAAATTTCCAATATACAAGATTATGAATATTCTAGGTAAGGTGAACCCAACTCAGTGCGAGGCATTGACTATGATAGCGGCGCAGGTGATGGGCAACCACGTCGCCTGCACCATCGGTGGCAGCAATGGACACTTTGAGCTCAACGTCTTCAAGCCTATGATGGTCGCCAACGTGCTCAGGTCTATCACACTGCTTGGTAAGTCCAATAAAATTAAAGGTTACATAAAATTACACGAAATACTCAAGCAATTCACGAGATGAACACATTACGATGTAACACTTTCAAACCTAAGCTTCTCTTAGTGCTCAGAGAGAAATCTCCTGCTAAGCGGTTACAATTACTGAGTTTATTTATGAAATTATATATTTCCAGGCGATGGTTGCTTAGCCTTTGATAAGAACTGCGCAAAAGGCATCAAAGCAAACACAGAGAAGATCGAAAAGATCATGCACGAGTCACTCATGTTGGTAACGGCGCTCAACCCGCACATTGGTTATGATAAGGTGAGACTCATTTGTTATCATTTGCACGAATTGACGGACTCGAACAATCCGATTAGAATGATACCACGACTGTACAGAAACCCGGTATTAAATAACGTTATAGCGTCCTTTCATGGTGGTAGTCAGGCCAGCGACGTATTTATAACTTCTATTTTTCGTTCTAGGCTGCACAAATCGCCAAGACTGCCCACAAAGAAGGAGGTACCCTAAAAGGCACTGCAGTCAAACTAGGAATCCTCACTGCAGAACAGTTCGACCAATGGGTCAAGCCAGAAAACATGCTGGGACCCAAGTAAAGAATCTTAAGCAGTGTCAACATGGAACGGAGGAAGAAATTTTTGTGTTGCAATTAGGATTAGCAAAGAGGAAGTCAGAGCTTAACTACAAAATGTCCGATCTCCTTTGGTACCTACAGTGTAAAATGTTTGGTCCACCCGAAATTACTTAAGAGTAATTAGAGGCACCTTTTTTCGCAAAAGTACGATATTTGATAAGGGTCTGTTTAACAATGTATTAATAGCCGTTATGTATCAGATTAGTTTGAATGTAGGACGCATGTGGTATGAACTATGTTTTAATTTTGTCGGAAACTTATTACATGTCGTGAAACAGGCTCTTACGAGTGTTTACCTCACACAGCACAAGGTTTGTTAGGAACAAATTTTTACTAAGTGCTTAGCGAGAGTTTCCTATAAGTTAGCGCGGTCAACACGTTTATAACGTTTCGTGCTCATGCGGTAGGGTTTCGATCGCATTAACACAAACCAACTCGCACTAGGCCCTTCGTTCTGATTTTTTATGCGAAATAAGTGTTTTTAATTGTTACACTAATACTTCATAAAAAGAGCCTCTCCTTAATTACACGAACGATGGCAATCACAATGTTAGTATTGTTAATATGTCACCCCGATTTTTGTGGGCTGGCACTTTTAGAGATCTTTCATTAATTTATTATTGCTGTTTTTATTTATATAATAGACAACGTAGTGCCAAATACACAATAAAATTCTGGTTACACCATAAAAATGACCCTGTAATTTGCATTTATGTGTTAAGAATAAACAAAGTGTATCAATCGTCTTGTTATAAATTGTCTTTACCGTGTTTGTTCATAAGTTGTTTGTATACACTATTTACCTCTGACAGTGATTAAAGTTACCATTACTATTGTGCAAATATGTGAATGTACATGTTGAACACTATTTGTGTTTGACAATAAACATAATGAATAATGTTAATTTAACTCTGTCTTTTTATTTTCCACCAATTCCATAATAAACTTCAGAACCAAAACTAGGGTTGTCCAACCAATACACAGGTCGGGGAAAAGTATAATAATTGATAATTTGTATAATATTTCTTGAAAGGTAATATGGCTAAGGCCTGTTATGAGGTTATTTTGTGGTAGACCAGAAGTTAAACACCCTTTTCTCAATCATAAGGGTTTCAGTTCGAAAGCTGACAGGTAACAATGTAACTTATGTACTCTAGGTTTATTAGGCCACCACTGACATACAGTGAAGAAAAGTATCGTGAAGAAGCCTGCTGTACAACTTCTAAATAAATAGTAACTGTGACATCGCCAATCCGCCTAGAGTAAGTGTGGTTATTAATGCTCAAACCTCCGTGCGACAAGAGGTCTTTGCTGAGTAAGTAGAATATTTGCTAGGAGACAACTTTCTAGTGGTCAATGTGGTTCGACATTTCCCTTGTTTCAAATAAGTCAGTCGTCAAAGACTGTGCTGCGTTATGTACGCCCGGTTCCTATAATTGAGAAACGATCCGTTTTAATTACGAATAGTAGTTTTATATACGACTCGTAAGCTAAAACCGTTCCTATAATGAACGTCTCGTCGTGCAACTTACTGACGGTTTGCAACTAACGGATATCGGTAAGCGAATTGTATGGAGATCTATGGTGTCTGTGGTGTTCCTATAAAAATTTTAACCGTCAGTAGACTGTCAAGATAACTATTCGTAATGTCATTTGGTCGTAATGCGTATACAATGACGATTCGTTAAATATAGGAACCGGGCAGTAGAGAATAATTGATTACTAACTACTTAGTAGGTAAATGCCGTCACCTTCAAAAATATACCTTCACTATCTGCCCCCCTTCCAGAAAATGTTAATTTCATAAATAAAATTAGGACTTGTGACCATATTTTTTGAATGATACTAATATGGTCAAGGTAACCACAGTATGCCTACTGAGCATAGTAGGTACTGGTTTGCAAAGATAACAGACCGCATAGAATTGATTTACGAACAATAGAGATAAAAATAAAACTACGAGTTTATGCTTCAGCTACATTATAATTAGCAACAATGATAGTTTTATACACGGATACAATAATACTAATTATTTCTTTGGTATTTTATCACCCAATTTTAAGAGATCTGATTGGAATGTAGGTACTTAATTTGAAATAAAATTACATACAATAAACCTAATTTCTCATCTAATTCTTATATTTTGATATTATACCCTCTTAAATCAAAGTAGGAATCCTGAATATTAAAATCTAATACCACATTGATCTATTACTGGAATGTGGGTGGAACTGTGTAAACAGGACAGGACATAGCATTTTCTCATGGATATTTATCTATAGATTAGTAAATTTAGTTTCTATCATAACCTGGCCCACTTCATTATATTGACAATTTTATAGAGAGCAAATAATTTCACTAGTAGGTAAGTGATCATTACTTAACTAAAATATTCTGAAGTAGGACTAATTACTGATTAGACTAGATCAACTACAGTATATGCATACAGCATGGTTTGATATTGTGGAAGGCATCATAAGCCTGCTTTCCAAAATGTAACAAGAAGCTACAATCATTATCTACAACTTATATAAAATTGGATGACAACATTTCCAAGGTGGGAGACAGTGACATTGTTTTGTAACATTACAATAATCAGACTAGATTTGGTACATTTTCTGTAGCCTCTTGTCACATGCAGAAACAGTATTCAAATATACATTATGTATAAAATTGTACTCTTATAAAATTACTTAATTACATAAATACATCTTTGATATTCTGAAACTGCTTAACAGCAAGGTCAACAGGTAGATCAAAATTATATGGAGTTAAGCGATCTAGACTTTGTAGGGCATCTTGGAATCCAGTGTTAACCACATAGCTAGTGGATGAATAGTAAGCATCAATCAAGGATCTGCTTTTCAAAATAATATTCAGCCAGATGACCAACTTATGAGCATTCAATGCTGCACAAACAAAAGCTTTAAAATGAGCATCATAACTTCTTTTGTATGGTGTATGGGATGCCACAATGCTGCCGATAGCACTCAACAGACTTTGTTTATTAGTTATAGCTGTTCCTCCTACAATATCAAGGTTAAAACTTTGACTTAACTTCCTTGCTGGAGTGGAATTAAATCTATCACCATCATTTAAGTCATAGTATCGAAGAATCACCTCCCAGATATGTGTAGCTCTGGATGAAGAAGATCTGCGTACAGGAAAACATCCAATAATAGGAACAAGAGAGGTTGATTCAGGGCCAGTCAGTCCATGGTGTAGAAGGTCTCGCAAGTTGATGGCAAGGTGTCTGCGGACTGCAGTAGTTAGTGGAGCATCATTTATGACAATACCACCTTCTTCAGACTCACTGTCATAGCTATCTACCATGTTGTGAGATGGTCTGTCACGGGAAACTAAGTGGAGTACCCCATCAACTGACATCTCCAGTCTTGCACGCAAATTGCCCCAGTGTGTAACAATAGTTGAGGACTTGCCTTCATGTCTCCTGTTGGTATTGGGCGAGCAACCAAACTGTGATACTGTAAAAATTTGGATCAGTGTTGATGCTTTCCTCATTAAGTTTATGGTTTCTGCTCTCAAATCATCATTACTTTTGCTTTTACTGAAGGTTTTGTCAAATTTTTCAGATTTTCCAACATTTTTTGCTTCTGATGTAACTTTAGTATTCTTCAGTTCTTCATTTTTCATTAGTTTGATGAATTTCTGCATGTCTTCAATGTGAGCTTGCAGTTTGCTTATGATTTCATCTTTCGATAGTTGTCTGTCTGCATACTGTCTGACAGCACAGTTAATTTGATGCCTGAGCTCTTCAGCAGTGAGCGGTTGGTGACATCCCTCTTCAAGGTTCTGATCTATTTCAGTGCGTAAATGATCAATTAATGTTCTGTGTTTACTATCGCATGTGGAAGTCGGGTTTGCAGCAAATCGTTCCAATTCCTTTAATTGTACTTTAAGTCTGTCTATGAAGTGTGCTTGTTTGGTACGTTGGCGTGATATTTTCCTTTCTAACTCAACACATTCGGTGCAAGACGCGTCGCCCGAACTGCCCTGAGGGGCGGCCCGAGAATCGTGAACTCCTCGTGAAGTAAACTCTTCAAGAGCTTTCAACATTTCATCTTTTTCGTCTGGCGGGGCTTTTAAAATTTGCCTCAATCGGAACTCTACCTGAGCAAGATGCGATGTTAGGGAGAAAACAGATGATGATAGGATTTCCTGTTCTTCTTCCAAAGCATGTAGTCTGTCTCCGTGGGCCTGATCAGAGTTGTTTTCGTCGCATAGTGTTTCTTTGGGTGCTCCTAAGGGTTCGCACCGCGGTTCCTGCCAAATAGGGAAGTCGCTCTCTTCGTATTCACCGGGTGTATCCATGTTCAGGTTTGTTTATTACACTTTATTAACAAAAATAATGAAAAGCAAACATGTTTCATTGATTTTCAATCAAAACTTATGAAAAAGCCTGAAAATTATAGAAAGACGTCACAAAGGAAATGTCATTTTCTTTGACGTCATTACGATTGCGGGAACGAAAAGTTCAGTATGAATGAGGTGAACGAACGACTGATCGACGACGACGGAATGACATTTTGAACAAAAAGCATAAATATCTACAAGTTAAATATTTAAAGAGATCGGTTAGAATTATTTTATAACAATTGCTAAAATAAAGTTCTTCGAAAACATCTGTAGCCAACTACAGAAATGTTTTGGTTCCATTAGTAGCGACATCTATCAATACTCTATTTAACTAACGGTAAAAGGCTAAAGGGTAAAGGATTACATTAGAGATGGCAGGGACTTTAATATAAAACCTTTGACCTCTGAGTTTGTTTCGGCATTTCTTCTCAGAGTAGTCAGATAGGAAATGCCGGCTTCATCTAGTTTTTTACATATAAATTGACGTGTAAAAGTGCCGTTTTATGGCCTATTTGCAAAAATAAATTCATTGTTTCATTGTTTCATTATAACATTATTCTTGAGTTCTCAAGGGTTACTAAACCTAAAGCGGACGCCCCAGTGTCCTCACCCACCAACTCCATGATAGGCATATAATTCTGATGGATTACAATAAAGAAACCCTTACCTATTTTAACCGTATACTAACTATCTTTATTTTGTTAACTACCACAGTTTTATGCATGATAGATATTGTGCATGCCTGAAGTTAAACTAAGAGATACGAATCAAATATAAAAATAAATGGGTAAGCATCTACCTAGTTAGATATTAATAAGTATATCTACAAACAAAATTAAGGAAAAACTATCCAAATAATTTGATTCCGCGTACCTAAACCTAACGATACAGTACCCAGATATAGCTTATAAAATATAGGAGTGACTACGAATCTATTATAGCCGGTTTAAATCAATTTTGCTACTATCACTGTTCTTATAAATACAAGTTAGGAACAAGAAACAAACTAAAACATTATGCAAATAGCGACTGTAGTTGAATCAACATGTTAATTGATAACTCATATCACATTGTGGTCGTAAACCACTCGCAATCAGTCACACCACAGCTCCCCATGCGGGCGGTATGATTGCAAATTGATAACAAATACCAACTATGGACGTATAAATTCAACGGACAGCACATTTAACTACTTATATAGAAGTTCATTTCGTGGTGGGGCACCCGATCCGACCGGTCGCCTTTATTGTGTCTGTACCCTTCGAGCAGAGAACACAGTCTACTTAAAATACTTGCAAAAACACAACAAAAAAAGTGTGATACCGGTTCATCAACCAGTGTAGTTTAGTCATACAGAATTCGTGGCAGATTTATTTTAATTTTGGAATAATATAGCAAAGACATTATTGTGCTTTGAAAATGGAATGTTGTAAATGCAAAGGAGAAATAAAAGAAGTTAAGATGGTGAGTTTTTATTATCTGTATTGCCTTTTTTTTTACCTAATCGATTTTTCATTATTTTTTTTTAATAAGGAAAACGGTAGTTCCTTTTTCGTAAATAAATTTAAATTGCTTGTAAATAATACGGTTTTTGATATACCATCACGAACTTTACATATAAATATTATTAAGCATAACAATGTTTCTTATAATAATCACGTGACTTACATAACTAGAAGAACAAGACCGGGTTATTTACTTACCGGCTTGATATGAATAGTAATGTTACAACGGGTCAAGTTCGGCAACACTGCTTAGCAACGGAATGATTTACAAATCGATATTGGTATTATATCGATTATTCATTGTAGTATTTAAAATAATTTGTCTTAATAACAGTTACTAGGATCAATAAAATTGTTATAGATATTCATTAAAAATGGGTTCTGGGAAGCTTAGGTGTTGATTTAAAACCGGTTGCGCATTGTGTTTAGTGGTGTTGGTTCGATTCCTGTGTCGATTAAAATGTTGTAGGTACGGAATTATATTATTTCAAATGTGTTTTCTTTCCGTAAGTTTAACTGTCTTGGTGGCTCGAAGTCGGGGTCCTGATTGCCATTATAGGTACATTAGGTATTTATTACATTATAAATTTTTTTCTTGAAATTTTCCTAAAATTACAATAGACAATAATGCCAAATAGTCAAAGAAAGAGAAAGAAATGTGAAATATGTTTAGGTATGTCAATTTTTATTAAAATCAATAAAAAAAAAAGAATATTTACATTAACATCAACATTTTGTTAGTTAACCGCCCCATACACGCGTAGTGTATGTATGTATGTATAAGTACATACCTACCAACCTACCAAAGTGAAAGTAATGGGCTCATGGCTATTTGCGCTCATAATTGTTTTTTATCGTTCAACAGAGCGAATCCGACCTTTATGATATAAAACATTAACTTATAAAAAATGTTCAGAAACTAATTATTGAGAGATTGAACAATATTAAATATGGAATTGGAATGCATATGTATATCACTGCCTCGTTAGTTGAATAGTAGCAAGTTTGGGTGGTTCGCGAATGGTCCGGGATTGATTCGGGCTAAGTAATATTGTTTCTGTTTTATTTATTGATTTACACATTTAATCTAATCCACAATTAGGTACATATTTTATAAGGGGACTTTGCATCCCCAAACGTGAAAGCATCATGCTTTAATTATCAAAAATTGTTACTACACTTGAAGAGAAGCCTTATTTATAGGTACAGAATCTTATATTCTGTTTATGTACAACATAATGTAGGTACATAACAGACGCAAACTTAAAATACAAAAACTTGGCTCGCTTACAAGTGATTGCAGTAACATTATAAAAAAAAAATGCAAAGAATGTGACGTAACAATAAGTGCATCCTACACTACTTGCGTAATAAACACTTTCCTTTGTTTGTCCGTGTTTTGGAATACAAATGAAACAGCATATCATCCGATCATCTGATTTATTTATAATATTATTTTAATACACTAGAACTTAATAGAATACATCGCTACATTGCTTGTTTTGTCCCTCTTTAACTATATTCGTGTATGTTTGTTTCTTGCGTCATTTGTGTGTGAAATAAATGGTTTTTCTTTCTTCTTTCTTTCTACATAGTATAAAAACAAAGTCGCTTTTTCTATCCCTATATCCCTATGTAGGTGTGCTAAATCTTTAAGACTACGCAACGGATTCTGATGCGGTATTTTAGATAGGGTGATTGAAGAAGAAGCAGGTTTATATCTATAATACCATCAAGTTTAGCATCACCACGGAATAGAAATCTGTTTTGTGAACATCACCATTGCATCCGTGCGAAGCCGAGAGGGGCTGCTAGTAGATGTATAAAATGTGGTTCTGTCTTTTTTGAATAAATCGTAAATGTACCTCATTGGCTGTTTGACCATCACAGTCGGGGCCCTATACGGCTGATGTTCAGCCGGGGTTGCAGGTAGGACCTACCTCATAAATGCGGTCACAATAATTCTTATATTAATTCCAAGCTCAGACACTTATTATTAAGCTGAATGTTCCGATAGCCTTTTCATACATTCAACACTTTTACCCAAAACGAATCATTTTGTCATTATTCTCCATCAATCTCCATCCCGTTTCAAGCCGGATCACTGCTACTTATTGCACTTTGCCCACAACCTCGGCCGGATGCCGGTCTTAGTGGGTCTATCCGTCATGTTCTGATGGTTTTTGGAATTTGACGCGCTATCTTATATTTTTTTTAATGGGGGAAGATTGTTTCTCACTTCGTGGGTGGGGCAAGAGGGAGTGTCATACTCTTATTGACTAAAAAAACACCCCATCCCTTTTCTTTTTCTTACCCTGACTGAACATCAGCTCTATTGGGCCTCATGACCTCATTTGTGGTGGTCTAGTATCTATGCGCGCAGTACCTAGCGTGGGTGTGGTTCTGGTCGGGTGGCGAGGTACCTTTGCTTTCCGATCCCATAAGAACAGAACTTAATCAAATTAAATGTGATATTATGAATTCGAAAGTAACTCTGTCTGTCTGTCTGTCTTTTCTTCACGCCTAAACTACTGAACCGATTTCTGTAAAACTTGGTGCACACATAGTTTAGAACTTGAAAAAGGACATAGAATAGTATGGGACGTATACCAAAAATCTGCAAGACGTGACTATTCCACGCGAACGGAGTCGCGGGCAAAAGCTAGTCATGTCATACTTGCAACGTACGGATAGTCTCAGTTTACCAATGAAATATGGGTTCCTGCGTCGACCTTAACTACTAATTGTTTTCATTTGTTTGGACCATGGTAACCTGTCATGGCACTAAAATGTAAATGGACCTACGATCAAGCACCCCTACTCATAAGCAACTGCATATGGACAACCTAATCACTCGGACCTTAACGATACCCAGGTTAATTATACCATTGAGGACACAGAAACCGATAAAATAGTTTTTTGTTATTATAAGAATAATCATTTTTGCTTTGTTTACGACCCGGATTGATTCGGGTCTAAAATGCTTATAGTTACAAATTAAAATCATCTGCCTAAAACTAAGCTTTATGAAACTAACTCCTACTGATAAAAAATAAACAATTTGGATAAAAACAAAATTATTTGATTGAAAGGGTGATTGGTACTTCCATAAAACAATACACAAGTTGAACTACGTTAATTTAATTTCATTGATTTAAGTTATAAAGTAGAATAATATACATATAGGTACTTATTTATTCATTATTTAATGTTTATGTAGCGCTTAGTGATGGCTGCTGAACGCCAATATCATTATAATGTACTGCGGCCCCGGAGCAGGAGGAAGAATAGAGTGGATTTTAGTTAGTAAGAGTGTCACACTAGCTCTTGGCCCGTTCAGGGCGTGAGAAATCATTTGATGATTGGTATACCTTTAAAAATACCTAAGTTCTTATTTTTTTTAACATTCCTAACCATTTTGGTTGAAGCCAAACGATACGCAACCAACTACTAGGGCAGCTCGACAACTCACGTTATCCAGTTTGCTTTTACAGCCAAGCCCAATAAGACTCAAGAGAGCCGATGTGCTAACTAAGGGAGTTGTAACAGTGGCTGTGCCTCGCCAAACCCCACCCTCTTGCAACACGCTTGATAAAAATCAGAGAATCAGTCTGCCAGACTAGAGAAAAAGGGGAAAAAAAACATCACGTAAACTTAAGTTTTGTAAGTAAGACTGTGTACAGTGTAAGCGCTTATCCTTATAGGCCCGTTTTTTGTGAGGAGAAAATCATCAAATGACTTGAATGTCAATGAGTGTCAGACTCTTACTGACTAAAAACCTCCTGTCCTTCTCCTGCTCTGGGCCGAGGTCGCAGTGCCTCATTGCCATTCAACCCCTGCGGTTGTGGATCAAGCGCGAAATTAAATTGTACCGCGGCCCCAACCCTGAGCAGGAGAAGGAAAGTGGTGGTTTTTGATCAGTAATCCTCTAAATATCCCTCTCGCCTCACCCAGGACAGGGAACGCCATTTGATGACCGCCCACAAAAATTAAATAGACCGATCTTTACCGATTGTACTACCTATCTTCCTTGTTAATTGTAGTCATTAATATGAATATCATGTGCGGTGTAGATAGATTAGATAATTATTAAATAACAAGGTAACGATGGGAGCCATTTAGCAAAAAATATATAACTTGACTTTAGTATTCTAGGTCACGGAACCTTGACATGACATTGTCGTTAACGCATGGGAAACTGAAAACCTTGGCCTATACTGTCTCTATATTATGATATGAAATAGGTTAATAGGGTATTTATATTTTCTTTAAATGAAAGCTAGCTTTCCCCTGCGCCTTTTGTCGCGTCTTCTTAAGTTAAGTTTTCTTAAGTTTTCACACCTGTAGGTAATGTTCTGGAATTTCACTAAGTATTAATACTAAGTATGATATTTACCCTCTTTCTCCCTACCAAGCATATTTCATTTAATTCCAATACAATAGTGATTACAATAAAGTGTGGGAGAGCCATGCTTCGGCTCGACCAGAGTGATACAGCGGCCTCACAGAAAACCGGCGTAATACAACCACAGCGTTGTGTTACGTCGCGCGTCGTGTGAGTGAGGTTACTGGATGCCTAATCCTTCCCCTCCACCAATCTCAAAATATCTAAATTCCTAATTCCCTAAAGGTCGGTCACTCGTAATTCCTCCGTTGTTGCGGGTGTCTACGGGCAGCGTTGATTTGATTGCTTTGCGCTCATTGCTCACCATTAGATAATACGGTTGCTAGTTTGTCGTCCTATCACATAACAAAAAAATCTAGCTTATTTGAAGGGTTGAAAATCATCAAATTAGTTCTGCCGGCCTGGGTGGGGCAAGACGGAGTGTCATATTGTCATTGATAAAAACCACCCCATTACTAAAATTACTTGCATTAGGATAAACTATAGCAACTAGCAACCATGTACTCACATGGTACAGGTACATTAATATAATATTAGTGGTCCCCAAACCAGGATTTGCCTGTATCTTGGGGGCAAATATAGGTGTCTTGGTTGGGTGTTGGCTAGTAAGGTTTATTTGGATAGTTGTTAATTCTATTGATAAAAGCTGGACTGAATCAAATCGGTTTTAGTAGACACATTCGTAAATCGCGACATAGTAAAAGTAGCATAAAACCTTATTGGACATACACATATTTATGTTGTTTATTGACATGTAAATACTCCTTACAATCTTACCGCCTTACTATTTTATAAGACATTGTCACTTTGGCAAGTTTCAAAGCCTATCTTTATTTATTTCCTTTTGATATTTTTTGTTAATTATTATACGTTTAGCGAGTTTTATTATTTTATTTGTTATAAATAACGTTGAATAGTAACAATGGCGTGCACAGTTTGTATGAACACTGAGGGGAAATCTATGAAAATGGTGAGTGGGTATTTGCGTACCTGATCGATGGTTATATAACCAAAATTAATTGGGTGGAAACCTAGTGGTTGAAAGACCCAGTTGGAAACCCATCTATCAGGTCTTTTTAAATAGATGATTTGTAAAGAACTTCGTTATAGAACTATTTTTAAATAAGAAGAAAGGTGCATTCTATCCAAATCCGAAGTTTACTACTTACTTATCTAAGAAGTACAATACTTTGCTAAAATGTAGATGTATCTCACTAAATACTTCAATTTCTAGTGCAATTGCATTCTACGTTAGAGGTCCCAGATCTTAGAGCAAACTCGTTTCTTAGAGCAAAGTCATTTAGAAGTATCATTTGACGTAGATGAGCTAATACGCTGTGGCCATGCGGTGCTTTCTGGACTTTAGAATGGCTTTTTCTATCTTAAAAAAAAGGCCTAAAATTTGATACAGTTTAAAAATTCCCTAACTTAACTTACTTAACTAATTTAAAAAATACCTATCTGGAGAACTACATTATTGAATTCATAAATCTTCAGGCTTTCACAAAATTTAATGTACTTAGTTATGTTTTAGCAAACAATATTGAAGTGTTATTTTTATTGATTACAGAGGAAAGAGCGCGACACTCTTGGTGAATTGGAGGTGCCAGATGACAGACTATATGGAGCTCAGACTGTCAGGTCCGTCATGAACTTCCCCATTGGAGGCAAAGAGGAGCGAATGCCGGTAAGTTGTTATTTTTTGAAATTATACTTACATACGTTTATTGTTTGCAACTTGCTCTGGTTTTATCAGTAACTCTGGGCCCCTTACACTACGTTTGCTTAGACTTTTTATTATATGTAATAGGATGCGGATGGCAAACTTGCAGACTAATTACAACGACGCTGCTCATATACTCGTACTACTCGTAGATACACGCGACACCAATGTGACGGGTGCGTTGGCGGCCTTTGGTAGATGCGGAAAAGAATAAAAAAATAATTCGCATTTTTGTAAAAACATAACACGACATCACAACCACAACACATTTCAGTACATAAAACATAGAAAACTATCGATTGTGACAATTCATTTATTTAATTTTTGGGATTTGTCGAGGAATCGAAACTATATCCCCATTTAGACGACGCAGGTTTCTAGTCTGTTGCAAACAATTAATTAATGCAATCATTTACTTTTTTTTTTGAAGAGGGAAACTTCGAATGTTTTCTTAAAGATAAGAAAGCCTAAAATTTATGGTATTCATTAATTACCCTTGTATATTCAAGAAAATTCAGCTTTTCGGTTTAGGTAATTGAACCAGAGTTTTCATACAACTATCGAGTTATTGAAGATAAACAAATACGTAAATGATATGTCAACAAAGTGTTATGTTTTTATTAACGTATTGTTGCGTGTCGCGAAGTGACCCTCGTTGCCCTGTGATGCAATATCTTAGTACGTATCTATTTAACATGTTCATTCACGCAATAATGTTGTTGTTTCAATTTCATTGTTCCATTCACTATTGCTACTCTCACATGTATTATAATTTAGCTGCGGCTTTTTTTACCGTGTGACCTTTCGTTTGCTGAATCAAATTGATAATAACCATTGTGGTGTTTCATTAAATGATGAATTATAAAATGTAAAATATTTTGCAATAAATACCTAAGATTAAACGGTGTATAATAGAAAAGATTTCCAATTGCATAAGGGTACCATAGGTTTTTTAATATGTTGAAAATAGGTCACAATTTATCTCATCTAGTAGTGAAGATGCAACTTACGATGGAATACCCACCAAACTATTCAAATTTAAACCACCTATTCACCCGGCCCTTAAAGACGTCCAGGATTTAGGAACCTTTACTATTTGAAAAAAATCCCATCCTTTGGTTCAACCTTTTAAACTACCATCTCCAAGCCGTGTTCTGTTTATGGAAATTGTCTGGAACTGTTTTTATGGGACAGACTGGACTGGCTCACTATCTTCCAAAACTGTAGCAACTCCTGAAAGCCAGGATCTCAGTACATACGACCATGAAAACACTACTAGGTACTCACCAGAATCCTCCCAGGAATGGTCAGGGGTTATTGGTGACCTATTTATTCCTGTAATAATTAAATGAATGTTGACTCTTATTTCTTTTTACAGTACCCTGTGATTGTCGCCTTCGGTATCCTGAAGAAAGCTGCAGCGAAGGTGAACATAGAATATGGACTTGATAAGAAACTCGGTAAGTTAAAAAGTAAATAATAGAGTCGAGTACATATTTTCTGGATGGAGACTTAAGACCATCAGATGAATCGCCTGATGGTAAGCAATCAGCCCGTCCATGGACTCCCGCAACCCCAGAAGAGTTATAAGTGCATTGTCGGGTTTTTGGGGATAAGGGATTCGGAGATTTAAAGATTGAGGACGGATAGGGGCAGGAGAAGGATTGAAACTCCAGTCACCTCATTCACACAGCGTAATCACGCCTTTGTGCCGAAACTAGGCTCTCCCACACTTCCCGTTGCTTACTAATCATTTCTTTTATTCCAGCTAGTTTCGTCTGTTTTCATTAATTCTCAAAGATCATATTCTGTCTACTACCTATTTCTATAAATTGTGGTAGTTTCTTAAACTCACGACGAAGTGTTTTATGTTCCAAGAAATAGATTGCAATCGCAAAGAAATAATAATTACCTTGCACTTGTTACAGCGGAAGCTATTATGCAAGCGTGCGATGACGTCATATCCGGCAAGTTGTACAGAGAGGGCCACTTCCCGCTCGTCATCTGGCAGACTGGGTCTGGCACACAGTCTAACATGAACACCAATGAGGTAACATAGACCTTAATTCTATACAAATAAGTGCTAAATATAATCAAACTGAAATTGAAAGAATATTGTTATTACAATTAGTATGATCACCTCAATTAATATAATGGGGCCAATACAATCCCTGTGCTGTAAGTCTATGAGGAGTTGCAGTTTTTAGACGATATTATGGTGTTGGAAGGGGGTTAACTCGCATGTGTGCATCGTATGAAGGTTTAATGAATGTGGAGTATTAAATTTTATTTAGAAGGTGCATCTATTTATAACAGAGCTGAGGATAATGAAACTGTTTGAAAAAAATTACCGTCATCATTCAAAATGCAAAGGCCTGACCAAAATTCATTCTTTGTTATGGACACTAATGCACAGCTGCGTCATGCTTATAGCACTATTATTTTCGTATCAGATGTTAAAAATAGAGCATAGGTACATTTATACCTATTGCTTACTTGCTCTTCAGGTAGTTGCAAATCGTGCTATCCAAATCTTGGGTGGCAAGTTGGGCAGTAAAAGCCCCGTGCATCCAAACGACCACGTGAACAAGTCGCAGAGCTCCAATGACACATACCCCACAGCCATGCACATTGCTGTGGCCATGGAGCTGAGGGACAGACTCATGCCTGGACTTGTGGCACTCCGGGATACTTTGAAAGCAAAATCCAAGGAGTTCGAAAAGATCATCAAGATTGGAAGGTTGGTGAACTTAAACATCTCGTTAAAAGTCGAAAAATCATTTTGTCATTTTATGTGATAGGGCTGCAAATGGAGGCTAAACACCAGGGGCCCGAGTCTACTATTTTCAAAGTGTTGTCATTCCTACACAATTCCATTGTCATTTTGCTAAAAGTTCGTAATCTGTTAATTCAAAATGGCTGATCATTGGCGTTCGGCGATGTCGTAATATACTATATATGTAATTATAGTACGAGATGTCTTGTAACGAATTATAAACAATAACTGCACATTAATATTCTAAACGTAAATCATTGAATAAAGGAACTGACATTTTTTTTATTAATTTACCGCATTATGTCAAATATTCATTTGTCATTATGTACGAGATTACTGTTCTATAGAATTATTTCAATGAAGTGGCATTGGGTCATAATGATGCTATCGTGTTAGTAGATTACCAAAATTTGTCAAAATCAATAATTTTGCAACCAATGATCTACTATTCTGACACTATTGTAATAGCAGACTCGAGGCCCAGATCGGTGGTAAACAATTTAGTAGGGGAGCTCAGGATGCTAAATTTGTAGTTCCTCAAGCGTCGTAGGGAGTAACTGGATTCTGAATTTGGTGATAGAAAGAAAAAATGTCTCAATGACATTTCATTCCTCCGGTGGGGGAAGGGGGGAATGACAGTTTTCCAAAATTATGAGATGTAACTTTTGTTGACGTGACAGATATTAATAATGTATATTCATGCGAAAATATTTTTATCTGCCGAATTGCGTGGTGGGGTTGGCTAACTAAGGGGATAGAAACGGGACCCGTTCAAAACTCTATTGCTGTTGTAAACGACGATGAAATCGGCAGATTTTTTAAACGCCTTTTCTTTGACATGACATCTACCTTTTCCCCCCTAATCTGACAAAAACGACTGAATTTAGTTATTTTTTTATATTGTTATCCCCCCCTCCTCTGTTTACATTAAGTATATGATGGATATATTCAATAGGTTACTAAATATACCCCATATGTTAATCTGACGCGCTCGAGTAACTACCGAAATTCCTTCATGGGCTACCCTACTAATTGGCACCTACCGCAACAGCAGAGGAATAACAATTGCATTGTCAGTGTTCTTTAGAATTATAGGTGTCGACATCATAAATTGGCATTAGAGTACCTGTTTTGTACTTATATTATAATTTTCTGCTCAGGACCCATTTAATGGACGCCGTGCCATTAACATTAGGCCAGGAGTTCAGCGGGTACGCGGCTCAGTTGACTTTTGGTATCGAGCGCGTCTGCAGCATTCTGCCCCGCCTTCATTACCTAGCCCTGGGCGGCACGGCCGTAGGAACTGGTCTCAACACACGTATAGGATTCGCTGAGAAGTGCGCCGCCGAGATCGCAGCAATTACTGGTAAATATTTTCTATAGCTTCAATATCAAAATTGAATATTAAAAAATGTCTGATAAATTCTCTTTTTAATTAAATTCCAAAAAATCAAAATTAGCAAGGAACTTCACAGATGAAATTTGAATCTTAAGGAATTTTAATTTTTTCATTGAAAATATTTTCAGGTATCCCCTTCGAAACTGCACCAAACAAGTTCGAGGCGCTAGCTTGTCACGATACCATGGTTGAAGTATCTGGAGCGCTCAACACCGTCGCATGTTCCTTGATGAAAATCGCCAACGACATTCGTTTCCTGGCATCCGGTCCTCGATGCGGTCTGGGTGAACTGATGCTGCCAGAGAACGAGCCGGGATCGTCAATCATGCCTGGTAAGGTTTGCTTGATTTTTTTGGAAAAATTAAAACTGTGTCTGTGATCTCTTCAAAGTCAAATCATTTATTTCAAATAGACCACTATAGGCACTTTTGAAAACCAAACAAAAAATATTAATATCAAAAAGTTCTCTGTGTGTCTCTTGTGCAGCTATTTGCTCTAAAGCTTCCAAAGTGTAGATTCCTATGGAGAAGGTCGAGCAATTAACTCCATGGCTACTCTTCTTCAATCAGTTTCACAGTTCATTTCTTTGTTACATCATCATTTAGTCAGTTCTATGATTCTCTGTTATATGCATTTTTTTATTTTTACGTTATAATTCTGATATTCAGGCAAGGTGAACCCAACTCAGTGCGAGGCGTTGACCATGGTAGCGGCGCAGGTGATGGGCAACCACGTCGCCTGCACCATCGGTGGCAGCAATGGACACTTCGAACTCAACGTCTTCAAGCCTATGATTGTCGCCAACGTGCTCAGGTCTATTAGGCTCATTGGTGAGTTCTGTAGATCGATCGCAAGTGTGGGAGAACCAAGCTCACACGGCTTTATAGAACCAGCGCGAAACAACCACAGCGTTGTGTTTCGCCGTGTGATTGAGATTACCGGAGGCCCAATTTCTCTTCCTCCACCCATCCCTTTTTACTCCTTCAATATCCGAAATCTTTATGCCTTAAAGGCCGGCAACGCATTCGTAATTCTTTTGGTGTTGCATCAGGTAATCCGTCTGTTAGTTTACCGACCCAATTATAGGTACCATAAAAAAAAGATCCAAAAAAGGTGATTTTGTGTGTTTTTGACCAAGTAGTAAGTATTCAAGTTTTTCGTAGGTTTGGTTGGCAAACGATCAGGCGTATTACATGATGGTAAGCATCAGACATCAACCACAGCCCACCTTTTGTAGGAATTTAGAGATTTGAAGATCAAGTGTTGTTCTTGTAGGAATAAATTCTTAACAATAGTATTTTTGTGCTTACAGGTGATGCTTGTCAGGCGTTCAACAAGAATTGTGCGGTTGGTATTAAAGCCAATAAGGAGAGAATTGATAAGATCATGCACGAGTCTCTCATGCTGGTCACCGCCCTCAATCCTCACATCGGATACGATAAGGTGATTTTAATGAAAGATTTCATTTTCTTTAGAATAAATCGTTTTCTGTCTCTTTTTATTCTTCAATATTAAATCCATCGCGATCAAATTCGGAGAAAACACTCATTATAATCATCATCAGACTATAACTGCTCACCGCTGACCAAAGGCCTCTTCTCACACGGATCAGAGCATCAATTATTAGGCCTGCTCAAGTCGGATTAGCGATCGTTTGGAGATCGATTGGAGGAGTTATAAGTCCTTCCCCACGATGATGGTTTCCTTCACTTTATGGTGGTGGTGTGTAAAAAACTGAGAAAATACATGTAATTCAGAAAAAGTTACATTGCTACTTGGCAGGTTTCGATCTCACTTCCTTCTGAAAGAGAGACGGGACTGAACCTCTGGGCCACCTTAACACAAACAAAACAATTATTGAATGAAACAAGAAATGGCCGATTCCTTTTTAGTTACGTTTTCCCGAGAATTAGGTGCCCAGTAGTAAGTAGTGTATAACATAATCTCATGCATTTTTATTCCAGGCCGCTCTAATAGCGAAAACTGCTCACAAAGAAGGGGGTAATTTGAAAGACACAGCTGTCAAACTGGGCATCCTTACACCAGAACAGTTCGATCAGTGGGTCAAGCCAGAAGAAATGTTGGGACCAAAATAAACCTTAATTATGAAGATTGAATGACTTTTTTCGCTTAGGCACTAATGTATTTCTGTAAACTACATATTTTATAAATCCTCAAATTCTTGTTAAGATTTCACACTGTGTGATTTCTTGTGCCAATATTTTTAACCTGATCTGATTAATATACGGTGTCATTAAAAACTAGTTGCTGTAAGTTCTACGTGTTTATATTGCATACTCTAGATCTGATCCACGATTACAGTCTTATGGAAATTGGTATGATATTTGTACCAACCTGCTAAAAGATTGTCTTTGAAATATAATTATGTTATCCCGATTATTCTTTATTTTGAAATGTTTATTTATTATTATTAAATAATATACTGATTATGATGTTATTGATAATTGTTTTTTTTATTATATCCATCCCTCCATTTCGAATAACAAAAGTAAACGAAAATGTTTTAAAATGACACGTCATAAATATCTATATTAAAGTGGTATCTTTTGTTCGTTTTGTACAAAAACGAGCGGTTTGGACGTTTTGTAAAAAATATGGAAATTCACCAGTCACCTTGCTTCTCGTCAATGTACATAGAACTAGCGACATCTAGTTTAATAAAGATGAATTAATATCTACAACAGCCACTGCCACTGCTTGTCGATACCTATGCGAGGTATGTTTCTACATCGTCAAGAGAGATGGCGGGATTGTCAATCAGCAGGTTTATCCGCTTGCTTTTGGGTGTGCTATTGATATACACAAAGTATGGTAACAGCTATTATATTCCAAAAATGCAACAATTGTCCACAGATATTTATATAGTTCTTTTCTCGATACCGAAATTGACCCTGAGGCATATTGTTTAGGAGTTACTAGGCGACAACTTGGTCAATAAAACCTTGCTAAGGTTTTCTTTTGATGTATATGTATAACCGCCGCAGGTCTACTCCCGATAGCCATTTTTAAAATGTTGTCTTAAATCCTTTGCTCACTTTCACCTACCGCTTTAATTCTTTCTTTTTTTAAAAAGTTGCCCCACACCATGTATACACTCATACTACGGATTGTCTTGTCTGTCGTGGGTGCGGTCACAAATATACAATTTCACAAACACATGACCCGTAACAACAATTTATGGATCATACAAAGAATTGTTCCGTGCGGCAGCCGAACCCGCGACACGTTGCACGGCAGTCAGTTTCCCAGCCACCGCACCAACCGCGCAGTCCAAACCGCTTTTCTGATTAATGTACACAGCTATGAATGAGACTCGGTTTACTAACCACAGCGTGCGATAAGTATCTATAGTTCTTCCTTTGCTGTGTTAACAACCACTACAGTTCACAGCGTAAGTTTTTAAGTACGGATAAATGAATGGATGAACAAACATCCCTCGTTTGTTACTTTTACTTGTAAAAACTAATGAATGGATCTGAATGAAATTCGGCACAGAGATATCATCATCATCATCAGCCTATCAGTGAATACTGCTGAGCAAAGGCCACTTCTCATAAGGAGAAGGTTTGAGTCTTAATCACGACGTTTGCTCAAGGCGCATTTGCAAGATAAGTCTTAAAAAAGCAATTAAGCTTTGTTGGCAGCAGTAAGTAAGTACCTATATAAGGGTATCTACAGGCATTACTGAAAGGCACGAGTATGTAGATCACTCCAATTTTCATTAGACTTTAATATAAAAATTAGCTAGCAGCCAAAACAATTTCGACGTCATTATTTTCCTATTATCGTTGTAATATCGTTGTCCACAACGTATATGCACCAGAATATCAAGGTACCCATTATGAACAAATTGTTTTCCTACATTATCATCGTTACAGCAAACATAGGTATGTATACGGCCTTATTTTATTTTTTTATGGTGTACGTCGGCAAACGAGCAGATGGATTACGGTACGCAATCGGCGACGCCCATGGACACCCGCAACACCAAAGGAGTTATGAGTGCTTTTGGGGATAGGGGTTGTGGATATAGGAGTCAGGAAGGGATAGGGGAAGGGGGCGGGATTGGGCCTCCGGTAACCTCACTCACACGGCGAAACACAACGCTGTGGTTGTTTCACGCCGGTATTCTGTGAGGCTGTGGTATCACTCCGGTCTAAAGTAAACAAGGTTTTTCTTTGGTCTACGTCTCAACTATACCTACCGTCTTCGAAGTCTTCGTCTTTTTACCTTGACATTCTCACAGTCGAGCGTCAAGCAAACCATAAGGTGGTTTCGCCTGTGTGAGTAAGGTTACCGGAGGCCCAATCCGTCACCCTCCATCCACAATCCTCAAATCCCCTATTAAATGCCTCATAACCAACAAGAGGCCAGCTTTGCAGTTGAACTACCTAATTCACTAGAAATTACGGGTGTCTAAGTAATAAGTACTTAAGTGTGAAAGTAATTTGTTTATTTGTTAACTCTTTATGCTTATTTATTGAAACAATGTAATAAGAACGTTGCGTACTTACACACAATTTTGCGAACCGTATAATCTAAGAGTCACTGACTATTTCATGCGAGCGAAATCGTGGTTGAAGGCTAGCAATGTATTATATAGCTAAGCACTTAAAGCTAGCTATCACTAACCAATGTCCGCGTATTATCGAGACGAGCCGTAATTAATTGGCCTGCCGTTGAAAGTAGGTCATTAGGAAAATGTTCCCCCACCAACAGGGAGCGTCAACATTTTTTGTCGACGTTATCCCGTAATTTAATCTACCCCCGTGTTTTGCATATTAAGCTTACACGTTAATTAGCTAAGTATCTTTCATTGTTTCTCTGTTTTTTAGTTCTAAGCTGGTAGAAAGTAAACAAATGCAAGTCACATTCGTAAACAGTGGGTTCCGTGTTTTAATGTGTTACCCGTCCATTTAATACTCGTTCCTTAAATATACTTTTTAATTTGTATTTAATATTTTTCCCTAGAGTTGTAATAGATAGGTATCTATTATCTGTTTAAATTTCAACTGTCATTCTTTTAAAGTTCATGAGGTACAGCCTAATGACAGACATACGTATGGACGGATAACTGTGTCTTAGAGTATTATTTAGACTCCGCTGTCCGTGATTGTACTATACGGGTACACTGAAATGTGTTTGAATTTTAACACTTAGATGAATACTTCAGAAAGTTGCTATGTATTTTTAATGTATGCCCAAATAAAAAACTGTTCTTAATATATGATATTTACAAGCGCCTATTATGTCTATTATATTACCTTTTAAAAACTGTCTAAACATTCTTCACAATTTAAGTATATCTTTCAACAGAAAAATGTGCACCACTGTCCGCATACCGCTGGTTTAGCACCCCTGCGCTGATCATCCACGTATATCTATTTTAGCGCGGCGATATGGTCGGTCCATAGATAATTTTGTGGCTAATTTTGTGGATTCGGATCACGTATCAATGGGAGATTACAGTAATATGGTGGTAATAGCCATTAAAATGTCCGTATTTGTTGAATTAGGATTATGAGCGCTTTTATTGTTGAGTAAAGTAACGTCAAGGAAAGTTGTAATCACTTTCAAAAGTATATCATGAACCTCAGAATTCAGCCTAAAGAAGCTGAATTCTTTAGCAATTATTTAAAATATTTTTGAAGAGGAAGCTTTAAATGTATATATTATATAACAATATCCATATAAATAGTGAAGTAATTTAGTATTAGGATCGCACCTGTGCAAATCCCCCGAGCGTACGGCGCGTAGCGCGCCTCAAAGAGCCATTCGACCACCACAGACGGGGCCCTAAAGGGCTGATGTTCAGCCGGGGTTGCGGGGTAAGCGCAATGAGTTACCGCGACCTCGGCACAGAGCAGGAGAAGGAACAGGGGGTTTTTAGTCAGTAAGAGTCTGACACTCCCTCCTGCCCGGCCCTGGGCGGGAGAAGTCATTTGATGATTTTCCCCTCACAAAAAAAACCTGTGCAAAGCCGGGACGGGTCGTTAGTATACTATTAACAGAATACCTACATACATATCTTCAGGTTTTTTTGGGGGCAGGGGACAAGAAGCTCACTGATAGTCTCAGGTGAGGCGAGGGGGATTGTCAGACTCTTACTGACTAAAAACCACCTCATTCGTTCTTCTACTTTAGGCCGAGGCCATAGTACTTAAGTGCGCTTGATCTGTACCGTCGACTGGATATTCTAAATGTAAGTAACACACACCTGCCTTCGAATGTACTTTGCAAATCAATCACTATCACAAGTTTGCTCCAAGCTCCATTTTATGTTTGTCGATCATATTGTGTATTCGTATTTGTCGTGCGCAAACATACACGAAGCTTCTACAACTTGATCGATTGCATATCGATATGTGTTTGTATAGATAGCCAAGATATTTTGTATGCAGTTCAGAAAAGATGGTTTTATTACATCAATAATAGCGTGTGCTATTGACCCGGTTGGACGAAGCAATATCTGTGTTCCCAGAAGGGTCGGTAACCTAGGTGTCATCAAGGCCCGAGTGAATAGGTTGCTTATGAGAAGCTGTACTCCATCGTAGACCGCATCATCGTTTACCGCTTGGCGTGATAGCCAAATGCTTGCCTGATAAAAAAACATATCTTTTGCAATCATCAGCATTGGTTACTTTTGCATTTTCGTTAATCATTTCTACAACTTAGATGTGACAATGAAAATAACGACGCATTCTGTGCCCCATAAAATATTGTTCCAGGTCCGTGTGTGTTGGGTATGTGAAATTGAACGCCAATCCGCTTTGAACAAGCGTGGTGGTTAATGCTCAAACCTTCACCGTGTGAGAAGAGGCCTTTGCTCAGCAGTGGGCACTTGTAGGCTGATGATGTATGATATGATACTTAAGAAAATATTAGAGCTGGAAAAGTTTTTTCAAAAATAAACTTTCTTTAAAAATGTGTTTGGCAACATTGACAGAAATACTTGCAGTGATACAAATCTGTTTTGACGTCGACTGGAGTTGCATTTACAACGTACCTACTTATAATACTTATATATCGTTTTTCACATGGTTCCAGTGGCCATTAAACGCCCCTTTATTCAGGG